TACTTTTCAGTGTCGTAATTAAAAGCATTTGACTCGTACAAGGTCTCAATTGATAAACTCATTAGAAAAGCCAATACAAATTTTTACAGAAAGAAGAAAAAAACGATTATATAAACTTTCGTGGAATGCATATCATGCTAATTTATTCTTACATGTAAAAAGTCTAATATAAATTTGGGTTTAATGCAAGCAATAAAAATATTAAGAGAGAGTTGAATAAAGAATGAATCTGTTATGATTATGATTATATTGATAAAAAAAACTGAACCTGATTGTCAGAAACACAATTAGAAGCCTCAGTTGATCTAAAACCAATTAAAAGCCTCAGTTGATCTATAACCAATTAGAAGCCTCAGTTTGATCTAAAACCAATTAGAAGCCTCAGTTGATCTAAAACCAATTAGAAGCCTCAGTTGATCTATAACCAATTAGAAGCCTCAGTTGATCTATAACCAATTAGAAGCCTCAGTTGATCTATAACCAATTAGAAGCCTCAGTTGATCTAAAACCAATTAGAAGCCTCAGTTGATCTATAACCAATTAGAAGCCTCAGGTTGATCTAAAACCAATTAAACCCTCAGTTGATCTAAACCAATTAGAAGCCCCTCATTTTGATCAAAAACCCAATTAGAAGCCTCAGTTGAACTAAAACCAATTAGAAGCCTCAGTTGATCTAAAACCAATTAGAAGCCTTAGTTGATCTAAAACCAATTAGAAGCCTCAGTTGATCTAAAACCAATTAGAAGCCTCAGTTGATCTATAACCAATTAGAAGTCTCAGTTGATCTAAAACCAATTAGAAGCCTCAGTTGATCTAAAACCAATTAGAAGCCTCAGTTGATCTATAACCAATTAGAAGCCTCAGTTGATCTATAACCAATTAGAAGCCTCAGATGATCTATAACCAATTAGAAGCCTCAGTTAATCTATAACCAATTAGAAGCCTCAGTTGATCTATAACCCAAATTTAAAGCCTCATTTTGGATCTATAACCAATTAAAGCCTCAGTTGATCTATAACCAATTAGAAGCCTCATTTTGATCTATAACCAATTTTAGAAGCCTCAGTTGATCTATAATAAATTTAGAAGCTCAGTTGATCTATAACCAAAATAGAAGCCTCAGTTGATCTATAACCAATTAGAAGCCTAAAGTTGATCTATAACCAATTAGAAGCCTCAGATGATCTAAACCCAAATTTAAAGAACCCTCAGTTAATCTAAACCAATTAGAAGCCTCAGTTGATCTATAACCAATTAGAAGCCTCAGTTGATCTATAACCAATTAGAAGCCCCAGTTGATCTATAACCAATTAGAAGCCTCAGTTGATCTATAACCAATTAGAAGCCTCAGTTGATCTATAACCAATTAGAAGCCTCAGTTGATCTATAACCAATTAGAAGCCTCAGTTGATCTATAACCAATTAGAAGCCTCAGTTGATCTATAACCAATTAGAAGCTCAGTTGATCTATAACCAATTAGAAGCCTCAGTTGATCTATAACCAATTAGAAGCCTGTTGATCTATAACCAATTAGAAGCCTCAGATGATCTATAACCAATTAGAAGCCTCAGTTGATCTATAACCAATTAGAAGCCTCAGTTGATCTATAACCAATTAGAAGCCTCAGTTGATCTATAACTAATTAGAAGCCTCAGTTGATCTATAACCAATTAGAAGCTCAGTTGATCCATAACCAATTAGAAGCCTCAGTTGATCTAAAACCCACTTAGAAGCCTCAATTGATCTATAACCAAATTAAAAGGGCCTCAGTTTGATCTATAACCAAAAAGAACCCTCAGTTGATCTATAACCAATCAGAAGCCTCATTGATCTATAACCAATTAGAAGCCCCAGTTGACCTATAACCAATTAGAGCCTCATTGATCTATAAGCAATTAGAAGCCTCAGTTGATCTATAACCAATTGAAGCCTCAGTTGATCTATAACCAATTAGAAGCCTCAGTTGATCTAAACCAATTAGAACTCAGTTGATCTATAACCATTAGAAGCACAGTTGATCATAACCAAATTTTAGAAGCCTCAGTTGATCTATAACCAATTAGAAGCCTCAGTTGATCTATAACCAATAAGAAGCCTCAGTTGATCTAAAACCCCAATAGAAGCCCCAGTTGATCTAAAACCCAAATTTAAAGAAGCCTCAGTTGATCTATAACCCAATAAGAAGCCTCAGTTGATCTATAACCAATTAGAAGCTCAGTTGATCTAAAACCCAAATTTAAAGAAGCCTAGTTGATCAAAAACCCAATTAGAAGCTCAGATGATCTATAACCAATTAGAAGCCTCAGTTGATCTATAACCAATTAGAAGCCTCAGTTGATCTATAACCAATTAGAAGCCTCAGTTGACCCTAAAAACCAAATTTAGAAGCTCAGTTGATCTATAACCAATAGAAGCCTCAGTTGAATCTATAACCAATTAGAAGCCTCAGTTGATCTATAACCCAAATTTAGAAGCCTCAGTTGACCCTATAACCAATTAGAAGCTCAGTTGATCTATAACCAATTAGAAGCTCAGTTGATCTATAACCAATTAGAAGCTCAGCTGATCTATAACCAATTAGAAGCCTCAGTTGATCTATAACCAATTTAAAGAAGCCTCAGTTAAATCTATAACCAATCAGAAGACTCAGTTGATCTATAACCAATCAGAAGACTCAGTTGATCTATAACCAATCAGAAGACTCAGTTGATCTATAACCAATCAGAAGACTCAGTTGATCTATAACCAATCAGAAGCCTCAGCTGATCTATAACCAATCAAAGACTCAGTTAAATCTATAACCAATCAGAAGACTCAGTTATTCTATAACCAATCAGAAGCCTCAGCTGATCTATAACCAATTCGAAGCCTCAGTTGATCTATAACCAATTAGAAGCCTCAGTTGATCTATAACCAATCAGAAGCCTCTGTTGATCTATAACAAATTATGATAATTTGGAAAAACATACTGGGAGCAATTTGTAATGTAGAGAGATCATCAGTAGTTGTAGCTGCCAAGCTTCTTGGTTACATGACTATTTGTCTGTTTGTTATGTATACATACAAAGATCAAACTAAACAAAGTATGAAAATAACTTTACAGTTACTGTCTTGAACATCAAGTGCTTAAACTTCCATTCACTGAACAATACAGATATGCCAAGGTAAGATACCAGAAATTTTGACCAAATATCCAAATTCTGAATAATAATTCTTTTAAAATCGAGTTCCTAGATCTTTGTGCACCTATGTAATTTTGCATTATCATACCTAAAATTAAAATGAAGTGCATAGTAAACTAACAGCTTTATTACAAAATTTCAAATTTAAATACCCAACCAAGGTAATAATATGTCAATATATAAATATTCATTATGTGCACCTCTTTTTTCCATTGCTTTTCTTTTATCTCTTAAACATGATTCGATGTAGTAGAGTAATTTCTACTTTTATAAGCAATAGTATGTGGCAAGGTAATTAAAAATAAATAAATGATGGACTGAGAAAAACTACCAAAATAAATTATGAAAGAAAAAAATAGGTAATTAATGTCAAGAAATGTAAGAGTCAAAGACCTTTAACTCTAAGTTTAACAGTCTTAGAAGCATGTCCAGCAGGATTTGCAGCCACACAAGTGTACTCCCCAGCATGTTTTTGATGGGATTGAGTAATGATGAGAAGTGACATCATGGGTGAGGGATAACTCACAGACACAGATGTATCACTAAGTAGTAAGCCATCTTTAAGCCAGGTGATGGAAGGTGGTGGATCAGACTGTGCCACACAAGTGATTTGAAAGATATATCCTTCAAATACCTCAGATTCTGGAGTTATGGGTAGGATGTGTGGAAGCTCTGAAATTGTTGCCAAATAGGAGAGGGAAGATGTAAGATTGCTCACCACAATGCCTGATAACTGAATTTCCAAAGTTTTCCATGAAATTCAAATAAATTAAACTTTTGCTTGTGGATTAATTATAGTAAATTTATAAATACAAATTATGAACCAATAAATCTTATGAAGTCAGCTACAATTAATGTAAAATATGTGCAAACTGTATTAACTTTATCTTAATATGATTCTTCCTCCTCATTACATTCGTATAAGAAAGTTCAACATTAAGCTGTTGTATTCAACAGTATTATAAATATCAATGCAACACTTACAGAGAGAGGTCTCTTCATCTATTAATCACAATAACTACTCTCTGAAAAAATATCTAATAATAAAGAATGGAGCCAATCATACAAAAAATCATCACAGTGGTACACGTTCCCCCCTCTCCCATATATACTACTCAACATCAAAGAAAAAATATGACAAGTAAAATAATAAAAAGTAAAAAAACGCCCACAAAAAAAAATTTTAAAACTTACAGCTTTTGCTTATTGAAATTTTACAAAAAAGAAACAAAAATAAGAGAACTAGGACAGAATCACGAAGAAATTAAAAACATTGATTATTCTTTACCATAACCTTGACCCATGCATTTTGGATTGATAGTAACTTAAAATTTTAAAACATGATGCTGGTTTTAATATATTTTATTGAATATCAAAATGCTAAAAAGATGATATATATATATAGTAGCGAGTACAAACTGAGAAAGATTTATACTTAGTCATGTAAGGTAATTTTCTAAAATGCACTTAGAAGCCCCATTTTCGGTTATTCTTTTAAAAGTTTTGGTAATTTTCTTTTCTATTTGCATGTCATTCTCTTTCATGCTATTTATCTTTATTAAAATCCACTTCCATACTACATTTTTCAAAGACCTCTTTTTTTTTTTTTTTTAATGGCAGGAATTTTGCATCAGTTCATTTAATTAAACTTGCAGAAAATAGTTTTTTTTTTACACCTCACAACATGAGACATCTTCTTGACGTGCAAAAGCAGATGGAGCAGCAAAGATGATAGTATTGCAACTGTATCAATAAACTGGATAGTTAGTGAACCAACAAGAAGTCAACATTATAAACATAACCTCTATATGAATTACCACGAACAACCAAAGCATCAGAATATGTAGCTGAGCCCACCAAGTTGGCTGCCACACAAGTGTAGTTTCCAGAGTGGTGTGGACAGAGCTCGGTGAACCTTAGTTCCGAGTACCGGTCACCTAACTGGTTTACCACCACTCGAGGATCCACTCCATCCTTCCCACTCAATACATTCATGGTTTCACCACCAAGCTCAGAAGTAACATTATTACTTATAGAAAAAGGTCCACAAGAGTCCTCTATGGGATGTCTACGCTCACGCCGATCGCCTGATGCATGCCAGAGGTCATGGGGACTTGAATCCATCCTTGCAGGAATGACAGGTTGACCATCCTTATACCAGATGAGATCAATGGGAGAATCCCCAGCCACAACTATGCAGTGCACGAAAAATTCTGATCCTACATCAGGTTCACCAGCAATCACAAAAGGGTAGATCTGTGGGGATTCTGTGACCCACCAATCACAGATTTTTAATACAATGACAAATTTGCAGTTTAAAATAAAATGAATGTATGATTAAATATAATAAGAATTATTAGTATTACATATTAAACATTCATAAAAACTTACCTTAGTTACCATAATTTGTACACTTCCAAATGACATTTAGCAATGATATAAAATTTTACTGAAAGGTAAGATTAGTTAGGCAAAGCTGATATTCCTCTCCTGATAAGTACCCTTTAGGCAATACTAGCTTTCCTTTCTCAAATATAATGTGTTAAATATAGTGTCACTATAATTAATAGTGTATAATTTTATAACTTCTTTAAATTATATTTTATGACATTTATGAGCTACTCCAGCAAAAACATTCTCATTATAAAAAAAAAAATATCAGTTATAATACAGTACATCCTAATCTTTTTAAAAAATTATGTCTAACTTTCCTGCATTTTGATAAAAAAAATGAGAAATAATGATTTGGTGAAACATCAAGGACAATGGGAACAATTTAAAAATGAATGAATAAATGCATGTATGTACATACATATGTACGTATGTATATGCTCTGAAGGAAGTGTGAAGATATTGCAGTCAGTGGGTAATCTGAAATGGGATATCAGCACACCTCAAGCAAGATAGCTATTAAATGAATAATAGTAAATGCATTTCCTGTTATGGCACACATTGTCTTGGCAATAAAATGGCCAATGAGGTGTGTGTTGGAATGTATGTATATATTTTTTTTTTTAACACGCTGGTTGTCTTCCACCAAGGCAGGGTGACCCATTCACACTATCAATGTCTTGCTAGAGGCCATCTTTTGCCAAGGCAATGTGATCCAAAACAGCCAACACATTCACTATCATTCATTCAATCATTGTCTTTCCTGAAATGTGCTGACATCCCATTCAGATTACCCTCTGACTGCAATATTCCCACACCTTCAATACACAAGCACTGCCCTTCCTTCCAGTTTAGGACTTCTTCTGATTATAATAATAATAATAATAATAATAATAATAATGCCCTTCCTTTCTCCAGGACTCAAGTTTAGCTAACTGGTTTCCCTGGAATCCCTTCATAAATGTTACCTTGCTCATACTCCAAGAGCACATCTATTAAAAAACCACTCGTCTCTACTGACTCCTCTCTAACATGCTCACATAAGCCTGCTGGATATACAAGCCCCTACAAATCAAAGCCTCTTTAATGCCCTCCTGTCAGCCAGTCCTAGGATGACCCCTACCCCATCCTACCTTCCACCTCAGATTTAGACATCCTCTTCATCATCCTATCCCTCTCCATGCTTTATACATGCCCAAACCACTTCAACAACCCCTCCTCTTCTCACACTTGGTGACCCCACACAGTCTTTTAATTTCTAAGCTCTGAATTCTCTGCATAATATTCACTTCACATATTGCTCTGAAACATGACATCACTACTGCCTCCTTCTGGCTGCAACATTCAAAACCCAGTCCACACACCTATATAAAAGTGTTCATACCATTATACTCTGGTACACACTTTTTTCTTTTCTTTTTTTTTTGCATACACAGATGCTTTAACACACCACCCACCTTCTTTCCCTCATCTCTTCTGTGGTTTGCCTAGATTTTCATTGACTTATCTGCTGACACGTCGGCTCCCAAAAATCTAAATGCACCTACTTCCTCTATACTCTTTCCCTCCAATCTGATACTCAATCTATAATTCTCTAGACTTTTTGCTACTCTCATCACCTTGTTCTTATCTATGTTCACTTTTAATTACCTTCTTTTACATACCCTCCCAAATTTGGACTGAAAAACAGGTATGACGTGGCTAGGAGCAGCAAGTTGAGACGCAGGGCCAGGAGCTAAGACTCGACCTCTACAACCACATATCAGGAAGTGTGTACATATGCACACATGTACACACGCACATGTATGAATGCATGTGAGCACGCACGCATGAACACACACACACACACCAAATTTATTATGGTAATTTTGACTAATTAATTTTATGCATGAAATAAATTATTACACAGACTTGTCATTACCTTGAAGTTCACCAATCATTTCAATTTGCAGAATTCAACAGAAACAATCAACACTCACCCATGACCTGGACATCTAGATCACCACGGGCAGTGTATCCCTGACTGTTACGAGCAACACAAGTATACCGTCCCTGATCAGAGTTGCGCTCAACAGCTTCAACAATAAGAGTACCATTGGGGAAGGTTTTCTGACGACGGTTGATGGGAAGCATACGGCCATCTTGGTGGAAAGCAAACATTATTAGACAAAAAATATAAACAACATGACAATCAGCTAAGCAAATACATTCATTTATTTACTTAGAAATAGTTGTTAGGTTCATTACATATTTACAACGCAACATTATTTAAGGATACTAAGTAATGATAGGAATAATAAAAGAAAATTAATAATAAGAGCAGCTTTAAGGTAGAATCTCGCCTTTAATATGTCCTGAGATCAAGATTTCAATGAATTGTTATTGAAATATTGTCCCTAAGTCCACATTTCACAGAAAGTGACCAGTCAGTCAAGCATCTTTCTCATTACAGCATTCAAAACTCATGCCTCACACGCACATAAGTGTTATTACAGTACTACTAAACTCAAGTGATATTCCCTTTTTTTGCTTCCAAAGATAAACTACTTTATATCCACAGATGCTTTAACACACCGTCCACCTTTTTTCCTTCATCTAGTCTATGGTTTGCCTCATTTTTTTTATTAACCCTTTGACTGTTTCAGGCCCCTTTCTGAAACTGTCATTCTATGTCGCCAAATATTTGAAAAAAAAAAAAATATTTTTTCTTATGAAATGATAGAGAATCTTTTCCCGATGGTAATGACACCAAAAGTTCGAAATTTGGTCGAAAACTCACGGAATTACGCTCCCGCAAAGTTAGCGGAATCGCGACATGTGTATTGGCGATTTCGCCGACTTTGAGCCCTGTTTTCAGCCAATTTCGTTGTTCCAGTTGACCAAACTCATAGCTATTTCTTTAGAACTCCATTTTATCTATCAGCTGAGTACAAGAAACCGCCCATTTACCAATTTGAACTACCCAATATAGTGGTCAGAAATTGGCAATTTGGCCAATTTCACGCAAATTAAAAAAGATGCCAATTTCAAAATAGGGTCCAGAATAAACAAGGTAGACATTCTTGGCACTAAAATAGCATATCCTCTGTTCATTAGTCACATCTCTAGGCCCCTCTTATATTATTATTGCTTTCTATTTTGATTTTTTATTCATACAAAAAAATACAAAATTTACTGTTATGCAGACTACTGCATTATTGTAAAAATGATATAAATAATATCAGTGCACTAGTGAAAGAATATTAGACTCCCCAGTTGACGTGTATTGGACGTGTGGTGTGATTTGTTTACTCCTGAACATTGGTAAAAATCGAACATTTCCGCTAATTTGAGCTCAGTTTCAAGGTCGTTTTCATCGTCAAAGTAATGAAAATCATCTCTATTTCTGTAATGTTTTCCATTTTATCACCTAAGACCATGAAAACGCGAATACAACGATAAATACTATACGAAATACACCTCAAAGTCAGCGTTTTATTCCAAAAAAACGATCTTTTTTTTTTCTCATTACGCAATGTATGCTGCAGGATTTTTTTTATGTGGTGCACACTGACCACACAGACCCATTCTCTCACATGTGGGCCTACCAGCTTTCTCCCTCTTGATTTGAAGCCGCTAGAATTATTGAGTATATATACATCAGAAACATTGGCTCATAAGACGTATTTATACAGTGGACTCCCGCATACCGTTGGCCTTACATAACGTTAAATCCACATACCGATACATTTTATCGCTAAGATTTTGCCTCGCATACCGCTAAAAAACCCGCTCAACGCTGTTCGTCCGAGACACTCTATGTGAGGCCTGAGCCAGCCTCACATGTTCCGCCGGTGGCATTGTTTACAAGCCAGCCTCCACGGTAACATCCAAGCATACAATCGTAACATTTCGTATTATTACAGTGTTTTTGGTGATTTTATCTGCAAAATAAGTGACCATGGGACCCAAGAAAGCTTCTAGTGCCAACCCTGTGGTAAAAAGGGTGAGAAATATTATCGAAATACTGTGATACCATGGTCAACTGCTGATGCTGCTGCTGCTGCTGCTGCTGCTGCTGTAGCACTGTCAGCTGCTGCTGCTGCTGTTGTTGTAGTACCGTCTGCTGCTGCTGTAGCATTGTCTGCTGCTGCTGTAGCACTGTCAGCTGCTGCTGCTGCTGTAGCATTGCTGCTGCTCTGCTGCTGCTGCTGTAGCACTGTCAGCTGCTGCTGCTGCTGTAGCACTGTCAGCTGCTGCTGCTGCTGTAGCACTGTCAGCTGCTGCTGCTGCTTGTACCCACTGTCAGCTGCTGCTGCTGCTGCTATAGTACCGTCTGCTGCTGCTGTAGCACTGTCAGCTGCTGCTGCTGTAGCACTCTCAGCTGCTGCTGCGCTGCTGCTGTAGCACTGTCACTGCTGCTGCTGCTGTAGCACCGTTGTTGGTGTGGCTTATTGAGAATACCAAGAAACAATTAACCCCAGAGGGTTAGCCACTCAGGATAACCCAAAAAAGTGTGTCATTGAAGACTGTCTAACTTGTTTCCACTGGGGTCCTTAATCTTGTCTCCCAGGATGCAACCCACACCAGTCGACTAACACCCAGGTGAACAGGGAAAAAACGCCTGGAACTAGTGCTATCATTGGTGAATTTTAAAGCCTGCAAAGGGTTGGTTTGAGGAGATTTAAGAATCGCTGTTGCTGGATCAGTCAGCTGTTGCTGGATCAGTCAGCTGTTGCTGGATCAGTCAGCTGTTGCTGGACCAGTCAGCTGTTGCTGGACCAGTCAGCTGTTGCTGGATCAGTCAGCAGTTGCTGGATCAGTCAGCTGTTGCTGGATCAGTCAGCTGTTGCTGGACCAGTCAGCTGCTGCTGCTGCTGCACCATCAGCTGTCTCTGAACATGACTCGTCCCGAACCTGTCCGTCCAGCCTGAGCGCCTGCCTTGCCGTCATTGTTTACAAGCCAGGGTGGCCGGTTGCATGCATACATTCGATACATTTTGTATTATTCCATTATTTATAGTGCTTGTAACTGCTAAATAAGCCACCATGGGCCCAAAGAAAGCTTCTAGTGCCAACCCTGTGGTAAAATGGGTGATAAATACTATCGTACCACAGTCAGCTGCTGCTGCTGCACCACAGCTGCAGCTGCACCATGGTCAGCTGCTGCTGCACCATGGTCAGCTACACCACAGCTGTCGTTGTTGCTGCACCACCATCAGCTGTATTACTCGAAGATGTGGAGAGTGTGTTGTTGGTGTGGCTTAACGTGAAACAATTACAGAGAAACAATTAACCCCGGAGGGTTAGCCACCCAGGATAACCCAAGAAAGTCAGTGCATCATCGAGGACTCTAACTTATTTCCATTGGGGTCCTTAATCTTGTCTCCCAGGATGCAACTCACACCAGTCGACTAACACCCAGATTAACAGGGAAAAATGCCTGGAACTAGTGCTCATATTGGTGAATTTAAAGCCAGCAAAGGTTGGTTTGAGAGATTTAAGAATCGTAGTGACATACACAGTGTGATAAGGCCTGTTCTGGAAGAAAAATGCCAAACAGGACCTACAGTACTCAGGAGGAAAAGGCACTCCAGGACACAGTGTCTCATTCAGTCATTGCTGCATCTTCAATAAAGGTAAGTGTCATTTATTCTTCATTTAGTAGAGTAGTACATGCACAATATATACTGTGCATGTACTACTCTACTATTGTGCATGTATCCTTCTCTTTGTGTGTAGGAAAATGTATATTTCATGTGGTAAAATTTTTTTTTTCATATTTTGGGTGTCTTGCACGGATTAATTTGATTTCCATTATTTCTTATGGGGAAAATTCATTCGCATAACGATAATTTTGCATAACAATGAGCTCTCATGAACGGATTAATAGTTATGCGGGGGTCCACTGTACGTCGAAAACAGTCAAAGGGTTAATCCATGCTGATATGTTCACTCCAAAATATCTTAACACATCCACTTCCTCCATACTCCCTCCCTCCACTCTTATATTCAATCTATCATTGTCTAGACTTTTTGTTACCCTAATGACTGTTTTTATCTACATTCACTTTTAATCTCCTTTTATATACCCCTCTCAAAACTGTCTACCAACCTTTTCTTCAGAATCCCCTCAAAAAAAGTGTCATCAGTAAATTGAAACTGTTATAACTCGCACTTTGTATAAGAGCAAACATTCACTTCTTTTACAATCCCATCACAGTTGTGTAACATTTTTTTTTTTATTACCACATTGGTCATTTCCCATCAAGGCAGGGTGGGCCAAAAAAGAAAACATTCATCATCATTCACTCCATCACTGTCCTCCCAAAGGCATGCTTACACTACAGTTATAAAACTGCAACACTAACACCCTCCTTCAGAGTGCTGGCACTGTACTTCCCATCTCCAGGAAGCAAGTCCAGCCTGCCAGTTTCCCTGAATTCCTTGTAAATGTTACCTTGCTTACACTCCAACAGCACGTCAAGTCTTAAACACCATTCGTCTCCATTTGCTCCTATTTAACACACTCACACACACTTAATGGAAGTCCAAGCCCCATGCACACAAAACCTCCTTTACCCCCTTCCTTCAACCTTTCCTAGGCCAACCCCTACCCCACTTTCCCTCCACTACATATTTATACTCTCTAAGTCATTCTATTTCATTCCATACTCTCTACATGTCCAAACCATCTCAATAATCCCTTCTCAGCACTCTGGATAATAGTTTGGGAAATCCTTCACCTCCTCCTAATCTCCAAACTACGGATTCTTTGCATTATATTCACACCACATATTGCCCTGAGACATGACATCTCAACTGTCTCCAGCCTTCTCATTGTTGCAACATTCACCACCCATGCCTCACACTCACACAAGAGCATTGGTTTAACTACACTCTCATACATTCCCCTCTTTGCTTTCATGGACAAAGTTCTTTGTCTCCACAGACTCCTCAGTGCACCGCTCACCTTTTTCCGCTCATCAATTCTATGATTCACCTCATCTTTCATAGACCCATCTGCTGACACGTCCACTCCCAAATATATGAATACATTCACCTCCTTCATACTCTCTCCCTCTAATCTGATATCCAATTTTCCATTACCTAAATTTTTGGTTATCATCACCTTAATCTTTCCTACATTCACTTTTAATTTCCTTCTTTTACATATCCTACCAAACTCATCAACCAACCGCTGCAACTTCTCTTCAGAATCTCCCAAAAGCACAGTGTCATCAGCAAAGAGCAACTGTGACAACTCCCACTTTGTGTTAGATTCTTTATCTTTTAACCCCACACTTCTTGCCAACACCCGAGCATTCACTTCTCTTACAAATCCATTTATAAATACAGTGGAACCTAGGTTTTCCTATGCCCTAGCCTGTATGTAAAACTATAGCATTTTTTGTTTTTTTCAACAAGTCAGCCATCACCCACCTAGGCAGGGTGACCCAAAAAGAAAGGAAAAATCCCCAAAATGAAAATACATTCATCATCATTCAACACTTTCACCTCACTCATACATAATCACTGTTTTTGCAGAGGTGCCCAGATACAACAGTTCAGAAGCATATATATAAAGATATAATACAAAAAGTGACCATCAAGGCCCCAGTGATGGATCTCACAGTGTGGCTCTTTACTGTCCTATTACACATCCTTCCAAACAGCCAATATCCCAAACTCCTCCTTTAAAGTGCAGGCATTGTACTTCCCATTTCCAGCACTTAAGTCTGGCTATATAAAAATATCCGGTTTCCCTGAATCCCTTCACTAAATATTACCCTGCTCACACTTCAAAGGTTCGTCAGGTCCCAAAAACCATTCGTCTCCATTCACTCCTAACACGCTCAAGCGCACTTGCTGAAAGTCCAAACCCCTCGCCCACGAAACCTCCTTTACTCCCTCCCTCCAACCTTTTCAAGGACGACGCCTACCCTGCCTTCCTTCCCCTACAGATTTATATGCTCTCCATGTCATTCTACTGTGATCCCTTCTCTCTAAATGACCAAACCACTTCAACAACCCCTCTTCAGCCCTCTGACTAATACTTTTATTAACGCCACACCTTCTCCTAATTTCCACACTTCAAATTCTCTGCATAATATTTATACCATACATTGCCCTTAGACAGGGCATCTCCACTGCCTCCAACCGCCTTCTTGCTGCAGCATTTACCACCCAAGCTTCACACCCATACAGGAGTGTTGTTACTACTATACTTTCATACATTCCCTTCTTTGCCTCCAATGATAACTTTTTTGTCTCCACATATACCTCCACCACTCACCTTTTTTCCCTCATCAATTCTATGGTTAACCTCATCCTTCATAAACCCAACTGCTGACACATCAACTCCCAAATATCTGAAAACATTCACTTCTTCCATACTCCTCTCCAATGTGATATCTAATTTTTCTTTATCTAAATCATTTGATACCCTCATTACCTTACTCTTGTCAATGTTCACTTTCAACTTTCTACCTTTACACTTTAGTTTTCCTTCTTTCTTTCAACACACCGGCCGTATCCCACCGAGAAGGGGTGGCCCAAAAGGAAAAACCAAAGTTTCTCCTTTTACATTTAGTAATATATAGAGGAGAAGAGGATACTAGCCCCTTGTTACACTATAGTTATTCTGTATAAAATGTATTTTTGTTAATATTTCCCATACGAAATAATGTAAATCCAATTAATCCATTCCAGACACCCAAAAATATTAACAAAAAATACATTTTATAGAAAATAACTATAGTTTTACATACAGACTAGGGCATATGAAAACCAAGCTTCCACTGTATATTAAACAACCACGGTGACATCACACATCCCTGTCTAAGGCCTACTTTTACTGGGAAATAATCTCCCTCTGTCCTGCATACTCTAACCTGAGCCTCACTATCCTCGTGAAGACTCTTCATTGCTCTCAATAACCTACCTCCTATTCCATACACCTGCAATACCTGCCCCCCTCTCCACCCTGTCATATGCCTTTTCCAAATCCATAAATGCAACAAAAACCTCTTTAGCCTTATCTAAATACTGTTCACCTATATGTTTCACTGTAAACACTTGGTTTACACACCTCCTACCTTTCCTAAAGCCTCCTTGTTCATCTGCTATCTTGCTCTCAATCTTACTCTTAATTCTTTCAATAATAACTCTGCCATATTCTTTATCAGGTATACTCAACAAACTTATTCCCCTATAATTTTTACACTCTCTTTTGTCCCCTTTGCCTTTGTAAAAGGGAACTATACATGCTCTCTACCAATCCTGAGGTACCTTACCCTCTTCCACACATTTATTAAATAAAATCACTAATCACTCCAAACCTATATCCCCACCTGCTTTTAACATTTCTATCTTAATCCCATCAATCCCAGCTGCTTTACTCCCTTTCATTCTGCCCACTACCCCATGCACTTTCCCCACATTTACAACTGGTTCTTCCTCACTCCTATAAGATGTTATTCCTCCTTGTACTATACACGAAATCACAGCTTCCCTATCTTCTTCAACATTTAACAATTCTTTAAAATATTCCTTCCATCTTCCCAATACCTCTAACTCTCCATTTCATAACTCTCCTCTCCTATTTTTAACTGTCAAATCCATTTGTTCTCTAGGCTTCCTTAACTTATTAATCTCACTCCAAAACTTTTTCTTATTTTCAACAAAATTTGTTGATAACAACTCGCCTACTCTCCTATTTGCTCTCTTTTTACATAGCTATTTTTTTCTCTTACTACTCTCTTTACATCTTCATTCCACCAATCGCTCTTCTTCCCTCCCGCACCCACTTTCCTGCAACCACAAACTTCTGCTGAACACACTAACACTATATTCTTAAACTTACCCCATACATCTTCTACCCCATTGCCTATACTCACACTAGCCCATCTGTCCTCCAACAGTCGTTTACATCTTACCCTAACTGCCTCCTCCTTTAGTTTACAAACCTTCACCTCTCTCTTACTTGCTGCTTCCATTTTCCTTGTATCCCATCTACCTTTTATTCTCACTGGAGCTACAACTAAAAAGTGATCCGATATATTTGTGGCCCCTCTATAAACACGTACATCTTGAAGTCTACCCAACAGTCTTTTATCTACCAATACACAGTCCAACAACCTACTGTTATTACACCTTATATCATATCTTGTATACTTATTTATCCTTTTTTTCTTAAAATATGTATTACCTATAACCAAACCCCTTTCTATACAAAGTTCAATCAAATGCTCCCCATTATCATTTATACCTGGCACCCCAAACTTACCAACCACACCCTCTCTAAATGCTTCTCCTACTTTAGCAATTAGGTCCCCTACCACAATTACTCTCTCACTTGGTTCATAAGTTGCTACACACTTGCTTAACATCTCCCAAAATCTCTCGCTCTCCTCTACACTCTCATCTCCATGTGCATACACACTCATCATAACCCACCTTTCATATCAGACCCTTATTTTAATCCACATAATCCTTGAATTTACATTTATATTCCCTCTTCTCTCTCCATAACTGATCCTTCAACATTACTGCTACCTCTTCCTCAGCTCTAACTCTCTCAGATACTCCTGGCTTAATCCAATTTATTTTTTCTTATGATGGTGACATCAAACATCCCTGTCTAAATCCTATTTTCACTGGAAAATAGTCCCCTCCCTCCTACATCTCCTAAGCTGAGTCTCACTATGTACATAAAAGTTCTTTGGTGCTTTTACTGTATTAGCATAGATATTTAGTCTTTACAACTCTAAATTGTCCAAGCTTTAAAATTTATTTCCAGTTAAAATATAACGTTAACTCACTCTTTTCCCAGACAATAGAATCAATTGGGTAGCCAGCAACAGGGCAGTGAACAACCATGTTCTCCCCGGCAACAACAGCAACCTTGTCCATAGGTCTGTGAAAGGAACAGATGATAAAACATTAACAGGAACCAAAATTAAAACATAAAAAACTAATTACAATAACACCACTACAGTGTTATATATATTTAACAATTTAGAAATAAGTGAACACATTTAGTAAACCTTTTTTACTCCTTACTTAGGAAAAATTAACACAAAACATCTGAGCATACCTAATATAAGGCAACCCATAAACGTTGAGTCTGGCTGCATGTTTGACTGAGCCTACAGTAGAAGAAGCAACACAAGCATAGAGGCCACCATCATTCGTGTGAACCGCAGAAATGTTCAAGTGAGAGACAACTTCTCCATTAACAGTCACATACTGGCCCACTTGCATCCTTGAAAATATAAATAACCAAAAAATGAACATGACAGAATTATTTCTTAAAAAACATTTTTTATTAATTTCATAGTACCATAATTATTTATCAAGTAAACAGTTGTGAAGAAAGGACACTATGCATATTTTCTTTACAGAGCACATAAAAGAGAGGAGCTTACAATGAGGTTTCGGTTCTACCTGGACCAAGTCAGACCAAAACGTCGTCATAAGCTCCTTTCTTCTATGTGCGAGTTATTTGTGTATCGTTCCAGTCACAGTACTGTGCCTTTTTTTGTTATTTTTTACAGAGAACTTGAGAAGAATATAAATTAACTAAATGGTCATAACTATGACCATAATTTTTAAAGGGGTGGATGGTAAGCCAACGGAAGGCCTCAGATGACCAAAAGTTTTGACAGTGGGTCATCATCTGGCTAAGACCTGCGTCAGGAAACACTTGTCCTGTTTCCTGACAAACCTTACCTAACCTTGAGAAGAATACCAGAATGGGATACAAGAAAATGCACTAAGTTCTGCAGCTACTATAAAATTTATAAAGATTACATGACAATAATAAATGATATGGAGACAGAAACTCAGGAGATTAATTAATCTGTAGATTTTGACCTCCTCTTGGGATTATTACTGAGCATTAACAGGTGTTCATTACACTTTGGTTATTCATTATATGACAAAATAAAGATTAAAAATATTATGCCAACAGCATAACAAGCTTAAAGATAATAGTAAGAAGCAAACCGCCCGGGAGTAAAAACGTCAAAGAGTAAAAGTAAGCCTAATCGTTTAAAAAGATGAAAGGCATTGCTGTTAAACCCATTTTCATTCTTAACATGCAAGTTTCTGAGGAAAACAGATCATGGATATACAAATAGGAAATCCCAACTAGACAACATGTAAAGCACAATAATAACACCGATTTTCATTAATTCTTCTAGTTCTTTTCATATTTAATTACAACTTAACTCCTAGGGGTAGAAACTTTTCACGTAAGCACCTGCTGAAGCTCTAACACAAACATATCAAAAGAAAGGGCTAGTAACCTATTCTCCTGTATCATTACTAAAGTAATAGGACAAATTCTTTTCCAAATGGGACAAAAAAAAACGATGTTGAAATCGCCGTGTTAAAAAGAAACATAACAACTGCTTAAACATAATTGCAGTTTAAAAAAAAATGACCAGAACAACAGGCAAGCAAAGGCGACCCAACAAAACAAAAACCAAAATTGAATCACCTTCAAACCAAAAATCGTCACATTTCGGTTGTACTGAAAAAAAATGACATGCATAATACAAAGGTAGGTAAATCCCTTAATAAACAAAATCTTAAAATGACTTCAATAATAACAACATATACCAATAATGCAAATTACTTTGTGTAGAACAAACCTTAAATACAAACTATGTTTAACTCTAGGTAGAACTTTATCAAGTGATGACCTGCTGAAGCTCTACCCATACACAAACATATTCTAAAATAAAGGTTTGCTCTGTACCAAGTATCATTCTACCATACTTGGCAGCAATGATGACCAATCTTCACAAATGACAATAAAAAAAAATGATTGAAATTCCTACAAATTATATAACTAACATTACAAATTCTTAAATCATCATTTTCTTTCAACAAACCAGCCATTCTCACCAAGGCAGGGTGGCCCAAAACGAAAAACTAAAACTTCTCCTTTTAAATTTAGTAATACAGGTCCTCCATCACAAATCCGGCACCATTGGGACCTGTAGTGTGCCGGATTACTGAGTTTGCCGGATTACAAAGTGGTTAGGTTAGAATACATTAATAAAATTAACCAACTTGACTTACACAAAGTTCATTGAACATTGGCAAAAATCGAACATTTCTGCTACTTTGAGCTCAATTTCAAGGTAATTTTCATCATGAAAGCAATCAAAATCATATCTAATTCTGTAATATATCTTCCATTCTATCAAATGAGACCAAAAAAAAACGAGAATACAACCATAAAAACCATACGAAAATATACCACAAAGAGGCGGCTAATGGCTGAGAAGTGAACTCCCTTATTTATCATCCATCTTTTTTATTTTAGGTGTAGGTTAAGAAGCATCTTTCCATCATACATTGCCCAAGTTTCAATGAGATAGCCCAACAAACAACTGACAATAAAAAACAACATTACCAAAAATCATGGCAAGCCCAAGCCAGGTACTGGAAATAAGTCACTTTGACTTTTTTTGGGTTATCCCAGGTTCTCATACACTGCTATGTATGATAATCTATGTAACTGTATTTGTGTATAGTACCTGAATAAACTTACTTTCTAGTATGTCGACTGAGTACAAGAAACCGCCCATTCACCTATTTCATCTACCCAATAAAGTGGTCAGAAATTGGCAATTTGGCCAATTTCACAGATGCCAATTTTAAATAGGGTCCAGAATAGACAATGCAGACATTCCTGGCACTAAAATAACATATTCTCTGTTCATTAGTCATGGCTCCAGGCCCCTCTTATATTACTCTTGCTTACCATTTGGAATTTTTATTCGCACACAAAAATAGAAGATTTACTGTTATGCAGACTGCTGCATTATTGTAATAATTGTATAAATAATGTCAACCCATTCTTGACTCCGTACTGGAATTTGGACCGGCAGGCGGACAGGTATTGGATGGTGACGCCATTTGTTTACTCGAGCATCGTTAAAGAATAGAACTTTTTGGCTACTGTGAGTGCAATTTCAAGGTACTTTTCGTCATGAAAGCAATCAAAATCATATCTATTTCAGTAATATATCTTCCATTCTATCAAATGAGACCGAAAAAACGAGAACATAACCATAAAAACCATACAAAAATATACTGCTAAGCGGCCGCTAATGGCTGAGAAGTGAACTCCACTATTTATGGTCTGATTTCTTTCATTTTTGGTGTACATTAAGAAGTATTTTTCCATCATACATTGCCCAAGTTTCAATAAGATAACCCAACAAACAAATGAGAAAATAACAGTAATAATAATAATACAGTGGACCCCGCTTAACGATCACCTCCCAATGCGACCAATTATATAAGTGTATTTATGTAAGTGCGTTTGTATGTGTATGTTTGGGGGTCTGAAATGGACTAACCTACTTCACAATATTCCTTATGGGAACAAATTCGGTCAGTACTGGCACCTGAACACACTTCTGGAATGAAAAAATATAGTTAACCGGGGGTCCACTGTAATAATAATAATAATAATAATAAAGGGAAAGGGGACAAAAGAGACTGTAAAAATTATAGAGGAATAAGCTTACTGAGTATACCAGGAAAAGTGTACGGTAGGGTTATAATTGAAAGAATTAGAGGTAAGACAGAATGTAGGATTGCGGATGAGCAAGGAGGTTTCAGAGTGGGTAGGGGATGTGTAGATCAAGTGTTTACATTGAAGCATATATGTGAACAGTATTTAGATAAAGGTAGGGAAGTTTTTATTGCATTTATGGATTTAGAAAAGGCATATGATAGAGTGGATAGAGGAGCAATGTGGCAGATGTTGCAAGTATAATGGAATAGGTGGTAAGTTATTAAATGCTGTAAAGAGTTTGTATGAGGATAGTGAGGCTCAGGTTAGGGTGTGTAGAAGAGAGGGAGACTACTTCCCGGTAAAAGTAGGTCTTAGACAGGATGTGTAATGTCACCAGGTTGTTTAATATATTTATAGAGGGGGTTGTAAAGGAAGTAAATGCTAGGGTGTTCGGGAGAGGGGTGGGATTAAATTATGGGGAATCAAATTCAAAATGGGAATTGACACAGTTACTTTTTGCTGATGATACTGTGCTTATGGGATATTCTAAAGAAAAATTGCAAAGGTTAGTGGATGAGTTTGGGAATGTGTGTAAAGGTAGAAAGTTTGAAAGTGAAAAATAGAAAAGAGTAAGGTGATGAGGGTGTCAAATGATTTAGATAAAGAAAAATTGGATATCAAATTGGGGAGGAGGAGTATGGAAGAAGTGAATTTTTTTCAGATACTTGGGAGTTGACGTGTCGGCGGATGGATTTATAAAGGGAAATGAGGTTAATCATAGAATTGATGAGGGAAAAAAGGTGAGTGGTGCGTTAAAGGTATATGTGGAGTCAAAAAACGTTATCTATGGAGGCAAAGAAGGGAATGTATGAAAGTATAGTAGTACCAACACTCTTATATGGGTGTGAAGCTTGGTGGTAAATGCAGCAGCGAGGAGACGGTTGGAGGCAGTGGAGATGTCCTGTTTAAGGGCAATGTGTGGTGTAAATATTATGCAGAAAATTCGGAGTGTGGAAATTAGGAGAAGGTGTGGAGTTAATAAAAGTATTAGTCAGAGGGCAGAAGAGGGGTTGTTGAGGTGGCTTGTCATTTAGAGAGAATGGAACAAAGTAGAATGACATGGAAAGCATATAAATCTATAGGGGAAGGAAGGCGGGGTAGGGTTGTCCTCGAAAGGGTTGGGAGAGAGGGGTAAAGGAGGTTTTGTGGCAAGGGGCTTGGACTTCCAGCAAGCGTGTGTGAGCGTGTTAGATAGGAGTGAATGGAGACGAATGGTATTTGGGACCTGACGATCTGTTGGAGTGTGAGCAGGGTAATATTTAGTGAAGGGATTCAGGGGAAACCGGTTATTTTCATATAGTCGGACTTGAGTCCTGGAAATGGGAAGTACAATCCCTGCACTTTAAAGGAGGGGTTTGGGATATTGGCAGTTTGGAAGGATATGTTGTGTATCTTTATATGTGTATGCTTCTAGACTGTTGTATTCTGAGCACCTCTGCAAAAACAGTGATAATGTGCAAGTGTGGTGAAAGTGTTGAATGATGATGAAAGTATTTTCTTTTTGGGGATTTTCTTTCTTTTTTGGGTCACCCTGCCTCGGTGGGAGACGGCCGACTTGTTGAAAAAAAAAAAAAAAAAAAAAAAAATAATAATAATAATAATAATTTACTACACGTACATGTACAATGGATACAGACATAGCTGACATCAGTGACATATTACTATATTATAGAAAGCCGCTTGTTATGCAGAGTATTTCAAGCAAATTAGATCAGTGTCCCAGGATAACACCCACACCAGTTGACTAACACCCAGGTACCCATTTACTGATGGGTGAACATAGACAACAGGTGTAAAGAAACACGCATAATGTTTCTACCCTGGTTGGGAATCGAATAATTACCAAAAATCACATATAGCTAACCCAAGCCAGGTAATAGAAATAAGCCACATTGTCTGACGTTTTTTGGATTATCCAAGGTTCTCTACACATATGCTGCTATGTGTGGTAATCTATATAGAAAAAATAGCTTTTTTGTTTCAGGTTTATGGTGCAGTACAAGTGTATATCACAATTAGCCCTGTGCTACACTACACTCCAAGACAGGGATAAGAGAATGGTACTTGCATCTCGTATCCTCTTCATACCTCCGTTGAACTACTCAGTATTATGCCAATTATTCATTCTGGAGTATTTAACATGTTTAATGTTATTTATATTGTTTATTATGTCATATCAGATCAACTGTGATAGGCAATAAGCTGTAGTGTTGATATTAGCATAATAATAAAGCATATTCTCCTGCATCACGAGACTGAGCTCATAGCAACCGACAGTGGCTTCAAAGCCACCTTATCTTTAATGGACAATGTACTGTGTAGGTGCTTTACACAACGAAAAGCATTTCTTTTATTCATTGGAACAATGGCTAGGGCTAAAAGTAAGCAAGTTATAACAAATGGAGAAAAAGAAATTAGAATGACTTATGCAGCAAGTAGCACCACCAAACAGTACCAGCAGGTTGATGTGGCAACCCTGGAAATTTTAAATTATGCTAGTCAAAATTAGTGCCAAACAACTGAAGGAACCGAATAACTGATTGCCGGATTTGTGATGGCGGACCTGTATATACAGGAGAAGAGGTTACTAGCCCTTTGCTCCAGCATTTTGGTTGCCTCTTACGACACGCATGGCTTAAGGAGGAAGAATTCTGTTCCACTTTCCCATGGCGATAAGAGGAAAAAACAAGAACAAGAACTAGTAAGGAAATAGAAGAAAACCAGAGGGGCGTGTGTAAATAACAAAAAAAGCACAATACCATGTGTATATATATATATATATATATATATATATATGCTTGTCTATGCATGTGCAGTGTGACGTAAGTGTAAGCAGAAGGAGCAAGACATGCCTGAAATCTTGCATCTTTATTTATTTTTTCAACAAACCGGCCATATCCCACCAAGGAAGGGTGGCCCAAAAAGAAAAACGAAAGCTTCTCATTTTAAATTTAGTAATTTATACAGGAGAAGGGGTTACTAAGCCGTTGCTCCCGGCATTTTAGTCGTCTCTTACAACACACATGGCTTACGGAGGAAGAATTCTGTTCCACTTCCCCATGGAGATAAGAGGAAATAAGCAAGAACAAAAACTAAAAAGAAAATAGAAGAAAACCCAGAGGGGTGTGTATATATATACTTGTACATGTATGTGTAGTGTGACCTAAGTGTGAGTAGAAGTAGCAAGACGTACCTGAAATCTTACATCTTTATGAGACAGAAAAGAGACACCAGCAATTCTACCGTCATGTAAAACAATTACAGGCTTCCGTTTCACACTCACTTGGCAGGACGGTAGTACCTCCCTGGGCCGTTGCTGTCTACCAATCTACTACCTAGGAAATCCTTAAATGTGAACATAAAAAAGAGCAATGTAATGAGAATATGTGTATAACAAAAAGTATAGGCAATAGAAGACTGGATATCAGACTAGAGGGAAGGAGTATGGAGGAAGTGAGGGCATTTAGATATTTGGGAGTGGATATGCTGGTACATGGGTTTATGAAAAACAAGGTAAACCACAGAATAGATAAAGATGGGAAAAACAGATAATGTGAAGAGGCATCTGTGGAAAGAAGTTTATCTATGGAGGCAAAAATGGGTATGTATTAGCCTATAGTGGTATCAACACTTTTAGCTGAGTGTAAGGTAAGGGCTTCAAAGTTTCTACTCATCCACTAGCATTTTCCTTGTGATTGTCAAAGTCACTGTTGTCTTCACTGAAAGTGAGATTATCTTACATTATCACTCCAGAGATCCCTCACACGAGTCTTCTGCTCTACTGAGTGGTTTAAGTTTGTTTTACACTCCATACATTCCCCATCATTTGTCCCAAAGCTGTCTTCCTAGAAGTGCGTGAACATCACAATTACAGTTACCCTTCAAACTGCGAAATCTCCACTCATACTTTAAAGTGTAAGCACTGGATTTTCCAGTTCCAAAACTCAAATCCACATAACCAATTTCCTTGAGTCTCTTCATAAATATTACTTTCCTCATGCTCAGGCAGCATTTTAAATCTCAAAAAGCCACTTGTCTTCATTCAATCCAGTCAAAAATGCTCACATTTATGAGGGGATTCATAGAAAATGATTAGCTGGGCTTGAGTCCTGAAGTTGTAAAGTACAGTGCCTGCAATCTGAACAAAGGTTAGGGATATTTCAATTCAGAGGGTCATTTGTTTTGTAATGTCTATGCACTTTTGGCAAGACAGGTACTGAATAAGTAATGATAAGTTGAAAGTGAACATAGAAAAGAGTAAGGTGATGAGGGCATCAAATGATTTAGATAAAAAAAAACTGAATATCAAATTGGAGAGGAGGAGTATGGAAGAAGTGAATGTTTTCAGATACTTGGGAGTTGACGTGTCAGCGGATGGATTTATGAAGGATGACGTTAATCATAGAATTGATGAGGAAAAAAAGGCGAGTGGTGCGTTGAGGTATATGTGGAGACAAAAAACGTTATCTATGGAGGCAAAGAAGGGAATGAATGAAAGTATAGTAGTACCAACACTCTTATATGGGTGTGAAGCTTGGGTTGTGAATGCAGCAGTGAGGAGGCAGCTGGAGGCAGTGGAGATGTCCTGTCTAAGGGCAATGTGTGGTGTAAATATTATGCAGAAAATTCGGTGTGGAAATTAGTAGGTGTGGAGTTAATGTAAGTAATAGTCAGAGGGCTGAAGAGGGGTTGTTCAAGTGGTTTGGTCATTTAGAGAGAATGGATCAAAGTAGAATGACATGGAGAGCATATAAATCTGTAGGGGAAGGAAGGCGGGGTAGGGGTCGTCCTCGAAAAGGTTGAAGGGAGGGGGTAAAGGAGGTTTCGTGGGCGAGGAGCTTGGACTTCCAGCAAGCGTGCGTGAGCGTGTTAGATAGGAGTGAATGGAGACAAATGGTATTTGGGACCTGACGATCTGTTGGAGTGTGAGCAGGGTAATATTTAGTGAAGGGATTCGGGGAAACTGGTTATTTTTGTATAGCCGGACTTGAGTCCTGGAAATGGGAAGTACAATGCCTGCACTCTATAGGAGGAGTTCGGGATATTAACAGTTTGGAGGGATATGTTGTGTATCTTTATAGGTATATGCTTCTAAACTGTTGTGTTCTGAGCACATCTGCAAAAGCATTGATTATGTGTGAGTGAGGTGAAAGTGTTGAATGATGATGAAAGTATTTTCTTTTTGGGGATTTTCTTTCTTTTTTGGGTCACCCTGCCTCGGTGGGAGATGGCCGACTTGTTAAAAAAAAAAGTATTGGGGGGAGGGGGGCACCTCACCACAGTGGGAGTCAGCCGTAGTTTTAAAAGAATGCATGCTGGATTCTTCAACCCATTACCTACCCCTCCTTCATACAATGTTTTGGTCAACTTACACCGCCTCATCCTTTTCAGATAACCAAACCATACCTTAGACACAACATCTCCACTGCCTTCAGGAGGCTGTAGGCAGTGGAGATGTCATGCCTAAGGGCAAAGTGTGGTGTAAATATTATGCAGAGAATTCGTAGTGTGAAAATTAGGAGGTGTGGAGTTACTAAAATATTAGTCAGAGGGCTGAAGAGGGGTTGTTGAGGTGGTTTGGTCATTTAAAGATGGAACAAAGTAGAATGACTTGGAAAGCATATAAATCTGAAGAGAAAGGAAGGTGGGGTAGGAGTTGCCCCAGGAAAGGTTGGAGGAAGAGGGTAAAGAAGGTTCAATGTGTGAGGAGCTTGGACTTCCAGCAAGCATGCATGAGCATGTTAGACAGGAGTGAATGGAGACAAATGGTTTTCGGGACCTGATGAGCTGTTGGAGTGTGAGATGGTAATATTTTGTGAAGGAATTCAAGAAAACCGGTTAACCGAACTTGAGTCCTGGAGATGGGAAGTACGATGCCTGCACTTTAACCCTTAAACTGTCCAAACAAATTTACGTTCACATGCATAGTGCTCCAAAAGTAGATCTCCGTTGTTTTACATATTTTCAAATATAAAAAAAAAAAAGTAGATCAAAGCTTTTTTTTACACGTTTTCAACGTAAAAAAAAAAAAAGATTTACTTTTTTTACATACTTTCAGATGTTGAAAAAACGTAGAACTAAGTTTGGACAGTTTAAGGGTTAAAGGAGGGGTTTGGGATATTGGCTGTTTGGAATGATGTCTAAACTGTTGTATCTGAGCACCTCTGCAAGGATAGTGATTATGTATAAATGATAGTGAAAGTGTTCGATGATGACAATTTTTTTTTTTTTTTTTTTTTTTTTGGGGGGGGGGGTCACCCTGTCTCAGTGGAAACCGCCAACGTGTTTAAAAAAAAAATTATATACTTAAAGATAAAAAAAAAAAAAAAAAAGATTAACTGCTAACTTAAAAAAATTACCTTTCAGAGTTTGAGAGACGAGTGCCATCAAGTTCCCAGGTGATTTCAGGAGTGGGGTTGCCAGCTGCCACACACTTAAGGTATACTGAAGGACCAGGCTGCAGGGTTGAGGTCTCAAAAGTGTATGTCAGTTGTGGGGGTTCAACTGTAAAAAGACAAGAAAAGCATATTGCAGAGACAAACAATTTATCAGTAACATGTACTGGGTAGTTAGCATTTAAATTTATAATCACCTTCAGATTATTTTAAATTATCTATATAAGCATTAACATTTAAACTGTCCAAACGTAGATCTACATTTTTTCAACATTTGAAAGTATGTAAAAAAAAAATATATCTTCCTTTTTTTTTTTTTTTTTTTTTTTTTTTTACATTTGAAAACGTGTTAAAAAACTTTGATCTACTTTTTTTTTTGTTATATTTGAAAATATGTAAAAAAACGTAGATCTACTTTTGGAGCACTACGCATATGAACGTAGATCTGCTTGGACAGTTTAAGGGTTAAAATAGTAGATACATACAGCGTCCTCCAAGTTTCAGTTCAGCTGTTGCTTGTGCAGATTCTTGATCATTCCTTACAAAACATTGGTACATTCCCTTATCCTCTCGCCCCACGGTATCAATGCGCAACACTGCCTCTTTGTGATCTGAAATGTTAGTTCAAGGTTTTAATATTATTTCTTGTGAGATAAGAACATAAGAAAGAAGGAACACTGCAGCAAGCCTACTGGCCCATGCGAGGCAGGTCCAAGTCTCCTACCGGCTTAAGCCAATACCCCAACCTAGTCAAGTCAGGTCACATTCACTTAATTAAAGAAGGAACACAGCAACTGACCTAGTAGCACAAGTTAATCAGGTCCAACTCACACCCACCCACACCCGCTCGTATTTATCTAACCTATTTTTAAAACTACACAATGTTTTAGCCTCTATAACTGTACTTGGGAATTTGTTCCACTCATGCACAACTCTATTACCAAACCAGTGCTTTCCTATATCCTTCCTGAATCTGAATTTTTCCAACTAAAAACCATTGTTGCGAGTCCTGTCTAGGCTAGATATTTTCAGCATGTTATTTACATCCTCTTTATTTATTCCTGTCTTCCATTTATACACCTCAATCATATCCCCCCTAATTCTATGCCTTTCTAGAGAGTGCAGATTCAGGGCCCTCAGTCTATCCTCATAGACAAGATTTCTGATACATAGGATCAACTTTGTCATCCTCCTTTGTACGTTTTCTAGAGCATTTATATCCATTCTGTAATATGGTGACCAAAACTCTGCAGCATAATCTAAATGAGGCCTAACCAAGGATATATAGAGTTGAAGAACAACCTGAGGACTCCTATTATCCATGCTTCTTGATATGGAGCCAAGGACTCTGTTAGCTTCATTGCGAACACTTATGCACTGTTCTCTTGGTTTCAGATTACTGCTAACCAGAACTCCTAAATCTTTTTTGCAATCCATAATATTAAGATCTACATTATTTAGTTTATATGTGGCATGGTTATTTTCCTGTCCAACATTTAGAACTCTGCATTTGTCTATACTAAACTGCATCTGCCTGTTTACTCTCACAGCCTCCTCACAGTTCTATGGTGACTCATCAAGAAAAACTTGAAATTTAGTATTGGCATTCATTTCCTATAATAAATTAAATACAAAGCAAAAATAGAACTTCGTCCCAGTCATACTGATCAACTTCAACTAAACCAAAGTAAATAAATTCTTCTCAGTTAGAGCATAACTTCATAATATTTCAGTGAACAGAGGAAGCAAATTTCTAAGGTACACAATATTATATGCAACTTCACAAAACCCAATGCACACAATCTATATTGGTCATTCTTATAACTTTTATGGTACTGTATCATCTTTTTACAAATGCTTCATTTTTAAGAATTTTTTTCAACAAACCAATCTTTTTTTTTTTTTTTTTTTTTTAACTAGTCAGCCGCCTCCCACCGAGGCAGGGTGACCCAAAAAGAAAGAAAATCCCCAAAAAGAAAATACAGTGGACCCCCGCTTAACGATCACCTCCAAATGCGACCAATTATGTAAGTGTATTTATGTAAGTGCATTTGTACGTGTATGTTTGGGGGTCTGAAATGGACTAATCTACTTCACAATATTCCTTATGGGAAAAAATTCGGTCAGTACTGGCACCTGAACATACTACTGGAATGAAAAAAGTTCGTTAACCGGGGGTCCACTGTACTTTCATCATTCAACACTTTCACCTCACTCACACATAATCACTGTTTTTGCAGAGGTGCTCAGAAAAACAACAGTTTAGAAGCACATACGTATAAAGATACACGGCATATCCCTCCAAACTGCTAATATCCTGAACCCCTCCTTTAGAGTGAAGGCATTGTATTTCCCATTTCCAGGACTCTAAGTCCAGCTATGTAAAAATAACCAGTTTCCCTGAATCCCTTCACTAAATATTACCCTGTTCACACTCCAACAGATCGTCAGGTCCCAAATACCATTCGTCTCCATTCACTCCTTTTGAACACGCTCATGCACGCCTGCTGAAAGTCCAAGCCCCTCGCCCACAAAACCTCCCTTACCCCTTCCTTCCAACCTTTTCGAGGATGACCCCTACCCCTCCTTCCTTCCCCTATAGATTTATATGCTCTCCATGTCATTCTACTTTGATCCATTCTCTCTAAATGACCAAACCACCTCAACAACCCCTCTTCTGCCCTCTGACTAATAATTTTATTAACTCCACACCTTCTCCTAATTTCCACACTCCGAATTTTCTGCATAATATTTACACCACACATTGCCCTTAGACAGGACATCTCCACTGCCTCCAACCGCCTCCTTGCTGCTGCATTCACAACCCAAGCTTCACACCCATATAAGAGTGTTGGTACTACTATACTTTCATACATTCCCTTCTTTGCCTACATAGACAGCGTTTTTTGTCTCCACATATACCTCAATGCACCACTCACCTTTTTTCCCCTCGTCAATTCTATGATTAACCGATCGTATCCGTAATTAATTCATATGGACAAAAATACCAAACAATTGGCCTAACTTTACATATGTAAGGAATAACTGCAATTAATTTTTTTTCAACATGTTGGCCGTCTCCCACCAAGGCAGGATGACCCAGAAAGGAAAGAAACACTTTCACCATGTTTGTGACTAAAAAATAATAAAAAAAGGGTTAGCTCATGTAGTCCACATAGTCCTGGTAGCTTTAAAAGCTTGGTTTGAAAAATTATTACAAATTCTCATTTTGCTCTATGCTGTTAAATTTAAATTATTACTCAACACTAGAAGGAGTCTGAAATGTTATAAATTACAGAAAAAATGCAAGCCAAAATCAAAGACCTAGGCAGCTTTATATAGCTTTCATAGAGTGGTCATTCAAAAGTTAAACTGGTTTCAGAGATTTTTAAATCCCCTATACTGTATGTGTAAAAATATTATACACAGACTGTGCTTATATAAAAGTAATAGAGTAACATGGAAGTAATGCATTCCTGTACACAGTATAATACACTCAGCACCTGGACCAGATCCACGGAATGCCCTATTTATAAAAAAAACTCAAACTACCACTAGCAAGAGCCCTCAGTATTCTTTGGAGAAAGAGCCTAGATATAAGTGAAATACCAAAGATCTTAAAGAGTACAGACATTACTGCTTTGCATAAGGGAGGTAGTAGAGCACTAGCTAAAAGTTAGAGACCAGCAGTACTAACTTCCCACAAAATAAAAAATCTTCAAAAAAGTGATGAGATGAGTGTTTACAAATTTCATGGAGCAGCACAATTTGCCTAACCCAAACCAACACGGTTTTAGAGCAGGACAAACACGCCTGTCACAACTGCTGAACCACCATGACAATTACGAAACGCACTGGAAGACAACCAAAATGCAGATGTAATATACACAGATTCTGCAAAGACATTTGACAAATGTGATCATGGGGTGACTACATACAAAATGAAGAGAAGATATGCAGATGGATTTTTGGGTTCCTAACACACACAAAACAAAAAATAGGTAGCAAACAGAGCAAAATCCAGCAACAGTGAGGTAAAAAGCTCAGTTCCTCAAGGCACTGTCCTGGCACCTCTGCTGTTCCTCATCCTCATAGCAGACACAGACAAAACCATCCGTCACAGTTTTGTTTCATCATTTAGAGATGACACTAAAATAAATATGAAAGTCACTTCAGTAGAAGACACTGAAAAATAACAGGAAGATATAAGCAGTGTTTTCCAGTAGGCAGTGGAGAACAACATGACATTCAATGTTGACAAGTTCCAACTGCTTAGGTATGGAAAGAATGAAAAACTCCAAACATACAAAACTCAAGAGGATCGTCAAATAGAATGAAAGAAACATGTGAAGGACTTATGAATAATTATGTCAGCTGACCTTCCTTTCCTTCCAAGAACACAATAAGGCAGAGATCGTGGCAGCCAGGAGGATGACGGGGTGGGTAACGAAAACTTTCAGAACAAGGGAAATAATGCCAATGGTGACACTTTTCAAATCGCTAGTGCTCCCTCATTTGAAATACTGCTCAGTGTTCATGGCCCTGTTCAGGGCAGGAGAAATATCAGAGCAGGAACAAATACAGTGATTGTTTAGGGTGGCCCACATACAGCCACTAAAACATTTAAATTACTGGGAGTGCCTTAAAGTTTTAAATATAAACTTACTGGAGAGGAGGAGAGAGGGTAATGATAAAAAATGCCGGGGTACCAAAGGGGGCCGGGGTCCCCAAATTTGCACCAGCCAAAAACATAGGGGAGATATTGGGGGGAAAGTGCAAAAAAAACCCGGGTAAAAAGCGGGGAGGGTGGGCACAAAAAAGGGAAACGTATCAACATCCATGGCCCCAATTTTCAACATCTTACCAAATATCAAAACACTGCGGAACAAATGTAAAAGTCTTCAAGAGGAAACGGACAGTATTTTCCCCAGGTGCCAGTTCAACCAGGCTGTGAGGGAAATTTTGGGGGAATGTGGTACCAGCAGCAACAGCCTGGTTGCCCAGGTACCAGAAACGACCCTGGCATTCCCGGGAGTAAAAAACTCTTGAAATCAAAAAGGCAACATCGAGAAATGTCAGATAACATATTCACAAAAAATTAATTTTATTAAAAATGTTAGAGGCAAAAAATTAAGGTATTTACAAAAAAGGGTGTATCAGTTTTTAATTTAACAATATTAAAATGCAAAACAAAGGCTGACTTCTAATAGGGTTCCCTTTTGAACCAGCTAAAAGATTTTTAAAGGGTTTTCCGGAATGCAGGTGAAGGTTGCGGAGGCCAAACCAACGTTTGTACATAGGGTCTCCCGAGCACTCAAAAGGGCTGTATAAAAATTAATAACTAATTTTTGCATTTATAGACACAAAGTTTTTTACAAAAATGTAAAGAAAAAAATTTAAAATTAACACCAGTGAAACCAGTACATACATAGAATTAAAAAATTATATACAGTAAGGGCTCCCTCAAAATTCGCGAGGGTTAGGGGTCAAGAGCCTCGCGAATGTTAAAAAACCTGAATGTTGGTCCCCCAAAATATTGTAGGAAATAATTTCAAACTGCTTCCCTTAATTTTTGAAACCCTGAACAATTTAAAATTCATGAAAAAAGTCATAAATTGACTAAATAAAAATGTTA